TGGATGACGTGAGTGCTGTGTCGCCCACGCCAGTGAGCGTTGCGTGTACGAGTACTTAACAGGTCCTCCGCCCAGCGCCCACAGGCGGGCGGGCGGGTGGGGTCTCAGCCTGGCCTCTGCCCGCCCCACAGGCCCGCGTCATCCTGGAGAAAGCCACCAAGGTGAGCTTCAAGCAGGTGGACGACCTGGCCAGCGTGTGGTGCGAGTGTGGCGAGCTGGAGCTCCGGCACGAGAACTACGACCAGGCCTTGCGGCTGCTGCGAGTAAACACAAGCCCGGGTTGGGAGGGGGTGGGGGAGCCTCAGGGTGTGTGATCTGGTCCTGGACACCCCCTGCGGCTTTCCCCCTACTGGCGCTGCCTGTGCAGAAGGCGACGGCGCTGCCCGCCCGCCGCGCCGAGTACTTTGACGGCTCGGAGCCCGTGCAGAACCGCGTATACAAGTCTCTGAAGGTGTGGTCAATGCTGGCCGACCTGGAGGAGAGCCTCGGCACCTTCCAGGTGAGCTGCCAGGATGGGATGGGGGCGTGGGGTGGGATACGCCCCGCGGGGGGCCGCTGACTCCACCCCCGGGACACTCTCTGACCGGCCCCCTGCCCCACAGTCCACCAAAGCCGTCTATGACCGCATCCTGGACCTGCGCATCGCCACGCCCCAAATCGTCATCAACTACGCCATGTTCCTGGAGGAACACAAGTACTTTGAAGAGAGCTTCAAGGTGAGGGGGCCTCGGACGGCATTGTCCCCTACCCGGGCTGCCATCACCGCTGACTGGAAGGCTTAAACAACAGAGATGTGTTTTCTCAGTCCTGAAGGTCGGAAGCCCGAGATCAAGGTGTCGGCAGGGCTGGTTTCCTCTGGGGCCCCTCTCCTTGGCTTGTAGAGGCTGCCTTCTCACTGTGTCTTCACATGGACACCTTTTTGTGTGCTTTTGGTGTCCCTCCTGTGCCCAGATCTGCTTTTGTGAGGCCGTCAGTTGTATTGGAATGAAATTTACCCTAATGATCTCTTTTTTTTTTTCTTTTATTTATATTTGGCTGCATTGGGTCTTCGTTGCTGCGTGTGGGATTTCTCTAGTTGCGGCGAGCGGGGGCTGCTCTTTGTTGTGGTGCGTGGGCTTCTCATTGCGGTGGCTTCTCGTTGCAGAGCACGGACTCTAGGTGCACGGGCTTCAGTAGTTGTGGCACACGGGCTCAGTAGTCGCGGCGCACGGGCTTAGCTGCTCTGCGGCACGTGGGATCTTCCTGGACCAGGGCTCAAACCCCTGTCCCCTGTTTTGGCAGGCAGATTCTTAACTACTGTGCCACCAGGGAAGTCCTCTCTGTTTAACTTAGTTGCTTCTTTAAAGGTCTTATTTCAGAACACAGTCTCGTTGTGAGGTATGGGAAATTAGGATTTCAACTTGAATTTGGGGGGACACAGGTCAGCCTGTCACAGGCACGGAGTTCTGCCTGTGTGTGCGGGGGTGTCCCTGCCTTGCTGCTCAGGCGATGGGTTGTAGGCACGTGGGGTGTTTTCCATGTGCACATGTACGTGTGGCGGGGCTTTGCCCACTGTCTGAGGTTTTGTGTACATGTGGAGACTGTGCACATACGTGGACGGGGAGGTCATACACGCACGTGAGTGCCCCCTCTGCCTGGGTGGCAGGCCCCGCCCCTCTGCCTGGGTGGCAGGCCCCGCCCCTCTGCCTGGGTGGTGAACCTTCTTCCAGGACACCGGGCCCCAGTGTCTGCGAGCTGAGGTTCCACCCTCCTCTTCAGCCATAAAGTCATTGACTGATCCTAGTGAGCCCTAGTCCAGCTCTGTCTTTGGGGTCCTTGCAGTCTGTCCAGGGAGACAGGCAGGGCACAGACCCTCTTGGCTGGGCTTTGATTGCATGATCACAGGGAGAAGTGGGATGGGGACAGGTGGGCAGACAAGGGGCCCACTTGCTGAGCCCTAAGGAGTCTCCCCCTGTGGACTCACACGACTTCCCCTCGGGGCAGGCGTACGAGCGCGGCATCTCGCTGTTCAAGTGGCCCAACGTGTCCGACATCTGGAGTACCTACCTGACCAAGTTCATCGCCCGCTACGGGGGCCAGAAGCTGGAGCGGGCACGGGACCTGTTTGAGCAGGCGCTGGATGGCTGCCCTCCCAAATACGCAAAGAGTGAGGAGGGCCAGGCGGGCTCGGTGGGGGGGCGGGTGTTGGAGGGGGCACCACGGGCCCAGCCACCGACCTCTGACCACCCCACCTCCGCCGCTGCATCCTGTCACAGCCCTGTACCTGCTGTATGCGCAGCTGGAGGAGGAGTGGGGCTTGGCCCGGCACGCCATGGCCGTGTACGAGCGCGCCACCAGGGCCGTGGAGCCCGCCCAGCAATACGACATGTTCAACATCTACATCAAGCGGGCGGCCGAGATCTACGGGGTCACCCACACCCGCAGCATCTATCAGAAGGCCATCGAGGTGCCCACCGCAGGGGCTGGGGTGGGGAGCTGGGGGTAGGGAGGGTCCTGTAGGCAGGGTATCCAAGCGAGCCTGTGCGCAGCGTCTGTGGGGAGGCCCGCCCGCCCAGGGGCCGGCCTGGTGTGCTGGGAACCACCGGGGCTCCCCCATAGGGGCGGCCCTCTCTGCCTCACATCCCACCCTCCTTGATCCCTCCCGACCCCACCCAGGTGCTGTCAGACGAGCACGCCCGGGAGATGTGCCTGCGGTTCGCGGACATGGAGTGCAAGCTCGGGGAGATTGACCGCGCCCGGGCCATCTACAGCTTCTGCTCGCAGATCTGTGACCCCCGGGTAGGGACGGGTCCCGGGCCCGTGGGTGTGGGAGTCTGCGGCTGAGCCAGCCGGCTCACGTCCCCCGGCCCTGCCCCTCTGCAGACGACCGGGGCCTTCTGGCAGACGTGGAAGGACTTCGAGGTCCGGCACGGCAACGAAGACACCATCCGGGAGATGCTGCGGATCCGCCGCAGCGTGCAGGCCACGTACAACACTCAGGTCAACTTCATGGCCTCTCAGATGCTCAAGGTGACAGGCAGCGCCACGGGCACTGGTGAGCAGCTGTGGCCCAGTGGTGGTCTCCCGGGTCTGGGAGCATCAGGGTCTCCTCTGCCTCCCCTGCCTCAGGCTGGGAACTCCTCGAGGGCCGGGGCCTCCGGCCCAGGTCGGGGGTCGCCCAGCAGCCCTCCGACTGAGGCAGGCACCTAAGGCTGTGGTTGAGGACAGCCTGCCCACGGCATCTGACCCCCACGCTTCCCCCTGCAGTGTCCGACCTGGCCCCCGGGCAGAGCGGCATGGACGACATGAAGCTGCTGGAACAGCGGGCCGAGCAGCTGGCGGCTGAGGCTGAGCAGGACCAGCCCTCGCGGGCCCAGAGCAAGATCCTGTTTGTGAGGTGAGGGCAGGGCGGTGGAGCCGAGCTGGGAGCAGGCCAGCTCTGCAGGAGGGGAGGGGTGGGGAGGCTGGGGGGCTGCCGGGCCCAGCTGAGCAGTGTGGCCCCCTCCCCCGGCCGCCTGCCTTCCCCAGGAGTGACGCCTCCCGGGAGGAGCTGGCCCAGCTGGCCCAGCAGGCCAACCCGGAGGAGATCGAGCTGGGCGAGGACGAGGACGAGATGGACCTGGAGCCCAACGGTAAGAGGCCGGCTGGCCGGGCGGGCTGGTGGGCGGAGGCGGGGGCGGGACCCCCTCCTGGAAGGTGACTGAGTCCTCCTCGCCTCACCCCCAGAGGTGCGCCTGGAGCAGCAGAGCGTGCCGGCCGCCGTGTTCGGGAGCCTGAAGGAAGACTGACTCCCATCCCCTACCCCCTCCACCGCTCCCCCAGTGAAGCTTGTGTTTGTACGTTCTGGTCTGAGCCTCCTTCCTCCCCGACCTCTCCTACTGCCTCGGTGCCCCTGGGGACTGCCAGCTCAGTGCCGCCCTGCCCCCCACCCCACCCCCCCAGATTGGCCGGTGTGGGGAGGTGGGGCAGCTGGGCTCCGGGCCAGGGCACACGCTCCACCCTAACCCCGCAGAGCCAGTTCTGGGCTCCGAGAGGCCAGTCTCTCTGCCGCCTGAGGCCCTGAGCCTGGAGGGGGCCCCTGCGCCCCTCCCGCTCAGCAGATAGAGATACTCAGCCTCCCCACCACAAACCCTTTTTCCTTGGATGAGGGCACCCCCCTCCCCGTGGGAAGAGACTGGGCTGAGAGCTCGGGAGGCAGGCGGGCCCCAACCAGCTCTGTGATCTTAGCAAGGCGCTTCTCTCCCTGGACAGCTGCCAGGAGCCAGACCTCAGCCATGGGCCATGGCCTAGGTGCAGTCCTTAGTCCTAAGCTCCCAGAAGCCATTAGCGGGCTCTAAGCTAGTAAAGGATTTTAAGCATTCGGGGACTTAACCAGATTTGTGCCCCGAACAGGCCAGGCAGGCTGCCGTGGGGACTGGCTTGTGGCAGGAGGTGACTGGGGGCGCAGTCACGGGGACAGAGGCCAGCGAGCCAGAGAGGCCCTCGGGAGGTGAATGTGTGGGATCCGGTGGCGGTGGAGAGGCTGAGCTGCAGGGAGACCCGAGCTCCGCCCGGCTCGAGCTTGTGATGTAGCTCCTCCACCTGAGACGTCCCGCGGCTGTGCCAAGGCGGCAACCAGACCCTTGGACGTGCAGCTCAGAGGAGAGAAACAGGAACCCCCGGCCCAGAGGCGGTCATGGAGCCTAGAAACGTAGGCAGGCAGCTGGAGGAGGGATCACGTTTAGCAGTTGGCCAAGGACCAAATGCCAGGAGGGGCCGATAATAACAGCCACACTGAGGAGAAAACTGAAGCGAGCGGGGGGGGCGGGGAGGACTGGCCAGAGGCCTCAGGTGCCCAGGAAGTCAGTTAAGAGGCAGCTGGGAAGCGGCCACGGGGCCCTGGGGGCCGGGGCGTGTCAAGGGGGCAGAGGAGAGGCTGGAGCAGGTTCAAGAGGGAACGGGAGGCAGGGAACAGCCGGCAGGTATGGGAAACCGTCGCGGGCAGAGATGTCACCGGGCACCCCAGCCAGCCTCAGTCGAGCTCTCTTTAAATTACTTTATTCGAGAAGGTGGGGAGGACAGATGGGGGCCTGAGCTGAGCCCTGAGTCCCTGAACCTCCCAGCTCAGCCCCCACAGCAGGGCGGGACCAAAGTAAGGGGGTGGGGACTCCAGCCCCACCGAGGCGAGGTCACGGGGGGACAGACAGGACCCGGGCATACCGACGGACTGTCCTCTGGGCTGTCCCCCAGGAGGGCGGTGGCCAGAGCACATGGGGCCCGGCCTGCGGACCACCCGGGACGGGGCTATTTGGGGGTGCTGCTGCCCTTCTTGGGAGTGGTGGGCTTCTTGCTCTGCCAGAGGTGCCCCTGGATGGTGAAGGCATCCACACTCATGGACATGGTCTTGGCGGGGATCTGGGTGAAGCGCTTTCGGTCCGAGTTGTACTTGTAGATGCCCTCCACCATGGCGGGCGTGACCGTCCGGGGGCCGTAGCCTGTCAGCCGCGACAGCTCCTCCGTCTCCCCGGACAGCGTGTACAGGGCCCGGAACTGGCAGCTTGAGTCGCGGAAGAGGATCAGGAAGTGGTTGGCCTTGCTCTTCTCAATCTCCTGGGTGGGGGGGGCGGAAGCAGTTAGCCAGGCCAGCAGGGCCCCTGCGACCCGCCCGCCGCCAGTCCCCCAGCCCCGGCCCAGGCCCACCTCAAGAATGCGGTTCTTCTGCGGCTCGTTCACCTTGCCCGCCAGGCAGCAGTGCGACAGGGCGTTGTGGATGATGAACTTGTTGGACTTGGCGCTCGGCTCCTTGTACAGCCGCGGACCTAGGGGGCAGGGCGGTCAGCAGGGACGACCGGGGGTGCCGGTGGGGCCCGGTGCTCCACCCCCCGAAGTCCCACCTACCCGTGTACTCAGGCACTGAGGCCGGGGAGGAGGCGTTGCTGCCGTTCTCCCATTCACGTTCTCGGCTGCCAGGCAGGCGGCTTGGGGACATGAGGCTGGATGGAGATGGAGCCCTGCGGGGGGAGGGGTGGGGGTGGGGTGCGGTCAGCGGTGGATGAAGCCTCCCAATCAGCCCCCCCCCCCCCCCGCCAGTCCCCCAGCCCCGGCCCAGGCCCACCTCAAGAATGCGGTTCTTCTGCGGCTCGTTCACCTTGCCCGCCAGGCAGCAGTGCGACAGGGCGTTGTGGATGATGAACTTGTTGGACTTGGCGCTCGGCTCCTTGTACAGCCGCGGACCTAGGGGGCAGGGCGGTCAGCAGGGACGACCGGGGGTGCCGGTGGGGCCCGGTGCTCCACCCCCCGAAGTCCCACCTACCCGTGTACTCAGGCACTGAGGCCGGGGAGGAGGCGTTGCTGCCGTTCTCCCATTCACGTTCTCGGCTGCCAGGCAGGCGGCTTGGGGACATGAGGCTGGATGGAGATGGAGCCCTGCGGGGGGAGGGGTGGGGGTGGGGTGCGGTCAGCGGTGGATGAAGCCTCCCAATCAGTGTGCAGTGGGACCCGGGAAGGGTGAGCCCAGGACACAGCGGAGCAGGGAGGACGCATCCACTGACATCATCTGGGCTCCCAAGTCCACGCAGGGCCCTCTTCCGGCCCCGGGCACATTGAACACAGGAGTGGAGAGGCACGACCTCGGTTCCAACTCAGGTGTGCAGCCTTACATCTTTGGTGGCAGGTGCACACCCTTGTGCCAGATCACCCTCCTAAGGCACTCTCTCTCTCTCCCCCCCCCCTCCCTCC